GGCTCTAAACAAACTCATAGATACAGGGAACAAACTGATGGTTACCAGATGGGAGCCGAGTAGGGGTGCTAGATTGAAAATGGTGAAAGGATTAAGAAGTACAAATTGGTAGTTATAAAATAGTCACGGGATATGAAGTACAGCATAGGGAATATAGTCAATGAAATTGGAAAAATGCACTTTAAATTGCACAGACACTTCTACGTCTTTGTGTCACAAAATGTTGGAATGAAACCAAACTAAGAATTCCACAAGTCCTATATTCAGATGAGGAGACTGAGGCCTTCTGCAGGTCATCCAGTGAGCTGGAAGCAGAGTGAGAGTTTCCTGAGGCAAATGTCTTCTCAGTGTGCTGAGAAGAGGCCGTGCTCTTCTCTGTGTCCTGCCTGCCCATCTCCTCATAAAGTGGTTCTGAGGCCTTGACTTCTTTCTTCAATTCACTCAGTCAAGAGACTTGCACTGGAGAGTGATAGGGAAGGAGTACCCTACATGCCGTGTGTGTGTGTGTGTGCAGGCATGTGTGTACTGTCACCCATATTATCTCATATAATCAGCATGGCTTCTCCTGGTACGATTGTCCCTGCTTTAGAAAGGAAGAAGTTAAAACACAGAGAGGGTAACTTGCCCAGGCTCACACAGTCAGTGAGGGTCAGAGCCTGGATTCATATCCAGTTTGGGTTGGTTCCAAAGAAAGTTGACCCCCAATTTTATATACTGAAATGCCAGGAAAGGGAAATGTGGAAATGACTGAGTGAACAGTAGTAGGGAGTGGTGCATATTATCACACATGTGTAAGTGTTCAGATCCACAGCATATTTAAACATGGAGTTGAACAAGCAAAATGGTTGCATTTCGATGTAGAAAAGGACCTTTTCAGTCCTGACATCTTATAATTTGGTACCTCCCACCCTCTGGTTCAACCTTTGCAAGTCCTGAGAGGGGCAGTACAGTTAGACAGATTAAACGACTGATGAGCCAAAGACTTTTTCCAGGGCTGGATAGCAAGTCTGTCCATTACCACTAGAGCTGTTCACATGTTACCAGCCTGCTAGTAAACTGGCAAGGTCTGGCCACAGCTTGGGAGACTAGACTGGAGCCCTGGACACACCCAGATCCTAGATGTTTCATGGTGTTTTCAAGGCAGGGAAAATGGCTGCAGAGTCAATCAGGGGAGTCATATGTGCGGTTCTTTGTGAACAGTAACCAGTCAGGGCATGGCCTCTGCAAGGCTCCAGAAAACGGTCTACCTTGCACAGTTTGTCCAGAGCTAAGCTCGGAGATGAATCAGCAGAGTGGTGGGCACACAGGACTGTAAAGTACATGTGGTGCCCAACAGGAGGCTCTATGATAGCTGGAGATGAAACTGGTTCAGAGGGGCCTGTCTTGAACAGCAGCGGGGAGAGGGAGAGGCCTGAGTCTACTTAGCTTTGTGGAAGCAGGTTTATGATGACTATTTGGTTTTTATTTCAGAGCCAGGCATTTCTCAAATGCTCACTTACTCTCCCTAACAGCCTTCTGTGATAGGCTGTCTCGGTCTGTTGCTCTGGGAGGTCCCCTGATCTCCCTGATGTCACACGGTGGGCACATGACAGAGCCATCATTTAAACCCAAGTCTGTCTCTGAAGCTTGTGCACTGTAAACTACATCAGCTGTCCCGATCAGGGAGTGTGGGCCCCTTTAGTTGCCATGGAGACTGCACACTTTCTCTAATGATGCTTGCCAACATGTCTAGATTCTTCAGAGAGTCAATTAGGGCAACGTAAGAATTCCAGTTTTCTAACTTAAAGTCATTTCCAGATGTTTGGGTTTTCTTTGTAATCTCATAGGGTCCCTAATGACTTTAAATAGCCTTATGCACAAGACTGCCCCTACAGACTCGATCGACCATTTAAGGGTGAAGTTCTTCCACCAAGATTAAAAATCGAGCCCAAGTGACAAGTTCTGGAGGTGGCATCCCTTAAGTGAGAGGGGAAAGAAATGTGCCTGGCATTGGGCCTCCTGCTACACATGGGCACCTCTGTTTGGGAGTCAGTCTCAGGCTTTCCCTTACTCAGTTCAGTGGCCAGGCACATGGCCTTTGAATTGTCTCCCCGATTCGCTCTTGAGTACAGGTGTTTAATTTTGTGTGAGTTTTTTTTCTTTACTTTTTTTG